GACCCCTGTCACGAACAAAAATAGGTGATTTGGTAACATTACCTCAAATGGGTTGTAATCGGAAGGTAGTTTGGAAAGCATCTCTTCGGCCATTTTACTGACAAAAGACTCTCTCGTCTCACCTCCTCCGCTTGAACCATCCTTCGGCTGGATGTTGGCGATCGTCGTCAATACAGACGAGGCGTTATTGGTTTGGTACCTTGAAGAAAGTAGAGCAAAATGCCGAAACGTTATCAGAAATCAGTCTTGATACTGTATGTTGTTTAATAAGCGATCCTACTCGATTTGTGATATTTCATTGTCTTATTTCGCAAGGTGATTAAAAGTGCGTATTTCAGTGTTATTCTACATCGCTTTAGTCCTGTTTCACAGTTTCTGTTCAACTAAAATATCCTGATAAGACATTCACTTGTTATTTTTTGCAATATGAAATCAGTATTTCAATTTAATCCATTATTTAAACTCAATTTAGAACTGGAGTCAACTTTAATACTTTTCCCTAAACCCATTCTTTGTTCTGACCTTAGCATTTTGTAAATTTCCATTTTAATGAAATATAGCCCACGTGTCATAATTCCATATGTCCTAAGTGGAGTACATCCCTAATAGTCAAAGAGCCTTTATACAAGAATAAATAAACTTAAAAGAATCATGATTAGTGTAACGTCATAGTTCATACCCCTTCAACTAGTGGTAGATTTAAACATGAATCACTTGTGCAGATGCATAAGTTGCATTTACTCTTAAGTTAATTTGAGACATCTTTTAATCTGCTAGTTGTTCCGTCATCAGAAACCCAGATCATGTTTGCTTTAACTTCAATTCATACTGATTCTAGCAATACAGTAGGAGTCAATAAAGGAGAAACCTACATTATATCAGCATTAGAATGCAATCCAAAGCACTCTGGAGAATCAACAACAGGCAGTTCCGAAATTCGAGCCTGATATTCCTCAATAGTTCGTGCCTTCGGAATGGCATATCCATTGTAGAAGCGGAAATCATCGGAAAATAGAAGATCTGTAAACCACACTTGCACGTAGGTGTTGAGTAGACGCTTATCGTAATCATCAGTGACTCGCCCACCATATTGGACCTCGCTGATCATGTATCGGAGAGTCGCCCAAGATGTACCCTGCCAAGTCAGCTTATCAAGTGAACTCAAGCACTAATTCAAACAGGGGATTTTCTGGCACCTACCTTATGCGCATCCATATCATCCAAATGATTCTGAATAAACTGAACAATTGAAGTGAAATCTGCTTGATTGAACTCATAGGGAATATTCCACCCTATCGGTCCGAATTTGCGTCTATCTTGAACAATGGTATGGAGAAAAGAAACTGCATAGAGCAGTGGTTTCCATTGGACAGCACTGCTTGCCTCTAATTGGTCCTCACCCTCCTGGCCAATCATAGCATAAGTACGGAGAAGTCCCGCTCGAATTCCCATTGGTGGATCAAGCGTGAATTTTGTCCTAATTTGTAAAAGTGCTATTTTCCTAAAAAAACAACAGATTCGGTTTGATCCACACTGTGCTATGGATGGTAAACAGATGGAAAGCGGCTTCTATTTGCTTTTAACAAAATTGTTACTCCCACATATTTAATCACTAAACTCATTAAACTAGCTGTGCACCTAACTCGCCCATGGCACAGAAATGGTGTCCTTTTAGCTGCAAACGCTGGCATTTAATTAATGTCTCCGTGTTTCAACAATCTATCTTGAACTCCTCTGAAACTGAATTTTTGGAAGCTCCAAACGTTATTTTTAAAAATGCTATTTTGGGTTTTAAAAGTGTATAACCATGTTGAGAAGCAATACCCCGATCAATGAAATACTATCCCAATCAATCTTGATCAACGAAGTTTGTCACTTTGCCGTAACTGCGTTACGTTCAAATACTAAATCTTTAGGAATCAATTTTTACTTTCTACTTTAACTGCGATTAAAATGGTTGGCTTCTTGAAAACCTGTCACTTCAAGACCTTGATCCTCATCGATCACAATCGTACAAATATCAATTCCCACCATTGGAAAATTACTGACAAACTTTTTTTAAAAGTAACTATTCACATTTCTATTTAAGGGCGTAATGGGTCGAAACTTGGTGAGAACCGTACAAATACTCTGCCGCGACCATTGCCAAACATTCGGTGACCGGAACAATGATTCACACAATGCATGCATGTGTGGAACGATTGATAGCTAGGGACCTCACTGAATGTTTTCCCAATTTAACAACTTTCGTTCCTCCCAACTATATCAAATGCGATCTTTTGTCCACGGACTCTTTTAGTTTTCCATCGCATCTAACCGTTCCCACTTTTAAGTTAGTGGAGCAACAATGTAGCACAACTTCTCATCTTAAGAGACCTCCGAACCGTCGCCCGCTCTTTTAAATGCGGCTCAAATAACTTTGCCTTGAGTCTCTTTTCTGCTTACTTTCACCTCTATCGTCCAACCTACTAATATTTATAGTCCGGGGTGTGCGATAGACTTACCTCCACGTGGTGCACCCTGGGTAATGTATACCCATACGACAAAAAAGCCTATTAACTAGCAGTTGACTTCTCACTTCAAACTACCACCACCCCACTGTATGTCATGTTCGGCTTCTTCCACAGTACTCACTCACCTTTTTTCTACCTTTGTGTTTGTCTCTTTTACATCTTTGAAACACTCTTCTGTCTCCCCCC